CTGAGGTCATTTATTTTTGTCAGCAATGAGGTCATGAATGAGGTCAGCAATGAGGTCATGAATGAGGTCATTTATTTTTGTCAGCAATGAGGTCATTCATGATAAAAATAAGCCGCTAGCGGCAAGGGCGAAGCCCATGTGGTCATTTACAATACTGCGATGGTAGAGTTTAAGAGTTGTGCTTCAATGTAGAGACAGTCCTTATGGTCTGGAGGTAAGAACACTGGGCAGTTATGGTCATGAGTGGAGAACATGTCTATCCAAAACTCACGATTGAAGCCAGTTAATTTATAGTATTTAGGGTTAGGAAGTGGTGTAGTTCTTGTATGACCAATGAACTCATTTTCAACTCCCTTACTTAAGTTTGAATATAATATAGCTTGCTTTCTATCCCAAATGCCAGGTGTTACAATCTTTGAAAATTCATTTTTCCTCGGAAGCATTGCATCATAATTGAAAACATTCTTGAAATCATCACTTGGTTCAGAGATTTGAAATCTTATACGTAATGGATTTTCTTTCTCTTTAGCTACTTCATTGAATGGTGAGAATACAACAAACTGACAGTCATGAGTTCCATCTTCATTTTCATTAAATTCATAATGAAAGTCTATAAGTTGTGGCTGACTACCTTCTTCTTTCAGTTGTGCAAGAAACTCACGTAAAGGCTGTAAAGTTTGTACTTCAATGTTAAACTTTTTCTCGAACATTTCATTAAATGAAATCATACATTGCAACAATGTTGTATCGTCTTTAAAGTATTTGTATATGTGAATGTTTTGGGCGCTTAAAGACTGTTCGTCATTTTCTATCTCGACTTGAAGTATAAAGTCAACTTTCCTAAATGCACGTGTTATATACATAGATGTTATGCCAATGTACTTCTCTTCATTTATGTTCACAATCCAGTCTGTTGGAAACTTAAACGTTACTCTGTTCCCCTTTATTTTGACGTCAGGGTTTTCACTACTGAACGCAACAGATAAAGGTATTTGTCTATACATTTAGTTCCAATAAAAATAAACCATTTACTCTTTCTTCACTTCAGCTTCTTTAGCTTTTGCTTCAGCTTCTTCTCTAGCTTTCTTCGCGAGCAAACGTGGGTTCTTCTGTCTTCCAGCAGCTAATGCAGCTAGTTGTTTTTCACTAAGTTTTCTCTTTGGTCTCTCTGGCTTTTGTTCTTGTTTTTGTTCCTTCAGTTCGGATAAAATTTGCTCGCGAATTTCTTTCTTCAATGCTTCAACATCTATGACCCCTTGGGTCTTGTCCGTAGGACTTGTCTGAGTCATTTGACTGCAGATAAAAAACAAAATTAAAACTTTAACCGATGTAAAATGAGCTTGTCAAAATCAGAACGAGAGTCTATTATATTAAATGACGCCAGAGGAATACAACATCCTTTCTATTACGTAAGTCAGAGTAAAGATGGTAAAATATATGTAAGAAAAAGAAAGGTTCCATTAGCGAATGCAGAAAGCGACAACATTAAGGTGTATGGCAAGGGTGAAGTCCACGAAGCCCATATAAAACCTTCTGTTCAAACTGAGCCACCAAAAGAACCAGAAGAAAAGAAGCCAGATGTACTTTCAATAACGAACCAAGAGCTTATTGCAAAGTTCGTGAATTTCATTGAAAAACAAACCGAGTCAAAGAACCCTGACCCGCCAGTGAAAGAAGTTGAGACAAAAGAGAATGTACAGTTCATTGAAAATGTCAAGAAACAACTTCCACCACGAATGCCAAGAAGAAGAGTGAGAATAATGAAGTAAATAGATATTTTTATCTGAAGTAAATACATGCAGAACGAACAGCTAAACGAATTTACTCCAGCAGAGCATATTCATCAGATTCGCTCATATTTCGATATCATAGACAATGCAGTTCAAATTGGTGACACTAATAGAAAATATTCTGACGCAAAGATTCCATCACAACCTGGAACTGCTAAAGATAACACATGGGTAACATTCAATCTCTCACCTCCTGGTGAAAATATGTTGGACCTTTACAATACATTCATTACGTATAAAATGGAAGGTCAATTTATTGTAGATAAAGAAATTGGTTCAGGTTCCAATAAAACAAACCCACCAGGATTTTGGATTGGTTTCGATGACGCTTTCTATGCAGTTGCTGGATATCAAATCCTTGCAAATGGTCGTATCGTATATTCTCAAGACAACGCAAGAGAAGAAGCATATATAACTTCAAACTCACAAACTACCGAACAAATAAAGAAAGTAGATGTTTTCTCAAAGACTCGACATGAAGATGTATGGAGTCATTCGGGAACATGCAGAACAGGACAAATTGTTAGTGGTCCAATTACAGCAGGAAAATCATTTGATTTTAAGCTTCGTTTAAGAATTCCTGTTAGAAGATTCCTTCCATTAGAAGCTATTCGATTTATTCCAGCTTTTGCAGGAAACATTCAGCTTAAAGTAAAGTTCAGTAGCGACGCCTTACAATGCACATCTATATCTGTAAATGATATCATTGCTTTCAATCCAACTCTTAAAGTTGCATTTGCTTCAGATTCAAATCCACCGACAAATAAATTTGTTCCATGGAATGAACCATTCACTATGATAACGAAGGCAGTAGAAGCTAGTGGAACAGTTACTATTACAACTGTAAACCAGCAACTATTTCGAACAAAGATGGATTTTAATGAATGTTTCATTCATCCAAAGTCATTCTCTTTAGACCCTAACATTTATACAGAACTTGTAGAACATTATACAAACGAGGCTTTATGTTTTCCTGTTAAAGTTATGGATTGGATTCCTATGGACGGTTCATTCTCAAAGAATACAGATAGTTCAAGTGCAACATTTACAGCAGCTTATACGCCTATTAATGTTAAAAGTATTTGGGCACTATTTAGAAAGAAAGACAACTATTATGTTAATTTTGAGAACCCTAAGTTTAAATATCTTCAGCTTTCCATGGGAGCTTATGGAAATATGCCTGCAGAACCCGAAAAATCATATGGACCTGTATTTTATGAAATGGTTGCGAACGCTTGCAATACAAACAATGATATGATAGGATTTAATGAAGATGTTATGAGGTCATTGGTGGATGATGGTAGTGTGGAACATAAATGGGATAGCTATGACAACACACATTTCTTATGTGGTTTTCCAACAGAAGTGGACTTTTGCTTCCAGCAAGGTCAAACATCTACTGCTCCAATAACATACAAATTGTCTGTTAAAGGACCTATTGAACTAGCAACTGAAAACGTACCAAAGCCACTTATTGGATTTATGAGGGATTGTTGCTTTGCCATTCAGGTGCGTGCTAATGGCATCCCATAATAAGATTAGATGACTATAACTTAGCTACGGACGACAGTGAGGAATAAAGGATGAACGTTTATTTTTAAAGCTTATAAATGAGTTCTTCATCAAGCTCTCGTGAACCTTCACCATCTATGAAACAAACTTTACCAAACGATTATGGAGCACCTATTGAATATTTCTTACGAGCTGCACAATGGCAAAGAGCAGTCTCACCAAGGTTAGGTGTTCCACCAGCTCCTGTCAAAAATAGCATTTGGTCAAGTCCTTATATAAGATATAGTCTCCCACTAGGTTTGCTAGCTACAGCAGGAGCAGTTATGATGTTGAAAAGAAATAAAGCAAATGTTGTAAATAATACTGAAGTAGCTGAAGTTAAACAAACTCCGACACCATCGCCAAAACCAACGCCTTCACAAACAACACCTTCAATGACTCCTGAACCTATGGAATTACAAACTCCTGTTCAAAAGTCAACTCCAAAACCGACTCCAACATTTAAACCAGAACCTACTCCTCAAATAAATCGTAAAACTCCTGCGTTTCCTTACTGAAAAAATAACGTTATTTTTATTTAATATTAAAATTTTTATTTGATTGAAATGACGACTAAAGTCACTGAAGCAATGAAACAAAAGTTTTTGGTAGAATACATTAAATCAGGAATTATTCCAGAAGGTTTTTACATTCATACTATGAAGGATGGTAGAGTTCAGTTTAGAAAGATAAAGCAACCATTAGATAAAGAAGGAATTTTGAGAAAGATTAAACTTCATGAGGACAACATTGCTGAACTTAAGAAGAAGTTAGAAGAGTTGGAGAAAGCAGACGACAGTGAGGAATAAAGCAATGAATTCAACAGGGTAGAAATGAGGTTAGAAATCGGGTTAGAAATCGGGTTAGATCTCACCACTTCACCTAAATTTATTTTTGTGCTATGTTTTCATACGTGTGAGGGTGGTGAGATCATTTATTTTTTATTTTATTTTTTAAAATTATTTTTATTTTATTTGGATGTAATGACAGAACAAAAGCAACTCATACAAATCAAAACATATAACAAACATACATTTAAACATTTATTCTTCCTTCCTGAGCATAACATGTTCTTTCAAATACATCCGAGACCAGTTGACTTTTCATTGACTGTTTATAAAGATAGAAATAGTTATATCATTAAACCATACGATGACGAAGGTAAGTTATGTAAATTGTACGTTAAGAAGTTAGAGAAAGTTTATGGCTTCAAGTATGACTACAATAGGGTTAACACTGATGATGAAGATATTGAGGAAAATTTATGAGAACATTAGTGAAGTTGTTAGTGAGAACGATAGTGAGGTGAAATTGTTGGCGGCTTTGTAAATATTTAAGGTTAAGTTAGTTTTTGCGTTCATGTTGTAAAATATACGTTAACGGTTTTGTAAAGTGTCAAATTCACAAGTATTGGGTAAGGTGGAACGCAGTGCCACCATACCCAAGACTTGTATACTAACTCACAGTATCTTGTGTTTTGACCAACAAATATTAACCAGTATGGAGGTCCATCTGTTCTAACTCTCGGAATGTTTTCCAAGATATCCATAAACCAAGCATTTGGTGTTGAACTAAAGATTTTTATCATGAGTGCTTTCTTTGTCGCTTTAGAAACATAGGGGTCCTTGTTCGGATTCGTCATTTTTTACCCTATAAGAAATGGGTTTATTTGGCGCATTAGCAGGAGTTGCATCCAGATTTTTGCCCGCAGTGGGAACAATAGCCAGAGGTGCATTTGGAATTGGAAAGAAGATTTTGAGTACATTAGGTATACTTAAAGAGAAAGCACAACCTATTATACAAACTGTACAGAAAGGTTGGGATGTAGCACGAGATGCAACAAATCTTATTCCAAATCCTGAAACAAGAGGAAAAGTTCAAGGATGGATGGACAATGTAGGAAGACAAGCAGGAAACTATTATAACAAAGCAAATGACTACTATAACCAAGCAGGACACTATATGGACCAAGGTGAAAGATTCTTTAACAGAGGATATAACCATGCACAACAGTGGGTAAACAATAACCAACCTCAATATTCTAAACTTTACAACAAACACAAAAAGTTGAAAGGAAAACAAAAACAAATGGCATATGATATTTATGAAGATGTTGACGACACAACTGTTCCTGCAAGTGAAGTAAAGTCAGAGGAACCGAAAAGTGACGAAAAACCGATAGAAGAAGAAAAACCAAAAACTGAAGATAAACCAAAACCAAAGTTTAGTTTCCAAACTAAACCAAGTCAACCTTCATTAGCTGGTATGGGTTGGCGTCAAAGACTTATGGCAGCAGGCGGTTATGTAAAGTAAAGAAAAAAATATTTTTTTATTTTTATAAAAATGCCCCCATATAGAATGGATAGAAAGTCTGCTAGAATAAAAGCAGAGTTACAAAGATATGGTTGGAGAGTTTCGAAGAATTTTAAATATAGGAAGGGAAGACCCATAAAAGTCTATGACAAATTGTCTGGTCTTCGCTACGAAATGGATTTGGAAACAGCACGTGCCAATTATCCAAACAGACTAGAGAGGTTAGAAGAAGAACGTCTTATGGACATGCCTTTCGATGTTAGTGAACCTCAAGTTGAAGGACACGACGGCTTTGCCAGATTCTACTGGAAACATGACGAACAATTGCATCCTTTGAGAAGGAAAAAAGGAAAAGGTGAAGACGCACATGCTCCCATGGAAAGAACAAGATATGCATATGAAAAGTATCGTGAAGTTAGAAGTCAAATTACATCTGGTCGAACCTTTACAGTAAACTTTGACGAAGGAAAGAACAAAGAAGGCTTCATGGGAGTACTTGCTGCAATTCAAGACGGAAATAAGAAAGGACACAATCTCAGATTGACCATAACAGATTTGGATGGTCACATTTACTATGCACATGGCAATGAACAAACAGCCGCAAAACTTCTTGACGCTTTCAAGACTACAAAGAGAGAACAAATGGTTGACTCCGACTCAGACATTTTGAATGCAATTGAAGGAATTGCAAGTGTCAAGTTCGAATGGTACCAACCTAACCCTCAAGCAGTCAGACAACATGCTGGATACTTCCCGTTCATAAATAAGTCTGACATTGACTTGACAAGGTATGGAATTTACAATTCAATTGAAACAATTGTCAATGAACCTTGTATTCTTACATGTCTCAGGAACTCTGGTCTTGTTACAGATGAGAAGATGAAGTATCTTGAGTCATGTGTGAAGACAAGGTACATTCTCAGAGGTCAATTGGCAAAAATTGCACCGTTGGCAAATGTCAATATCCGAGTCAACATACCTACAGCTAAAGGTTCTTCACATGACGACTATGTTGTTGACAAAGACTTACCATGGTTGAAGATTGTAATTGTCCACAACCACTTTATGTTGAACGAAAGTCTTACAAACCCATTCTTTGGTAAAAGTAAGTGCAACATTGTCAGAGCTGTAAACATTCTTTTCGAGAAAGGTTTGTTGGAACCAATTCCAGATGACAAGCTGACAGAAACTTTTGTACCAAAAGACGAAACAAACTTTTCATTGTTAGCAAGACCAAAAGTTGTTCCAGACAAAGTTCTAGTACAAAAGAAGTACACAGTTCCACAAGGGGTTGGTATGTTCGGATACCAACCTGAACCAGAAGAACTTCCAATGAGGTTGCAAGAACTTCAAGATGCTATAAACAAACTTCCATTGAGACATCCAATTGACGTCAAATTGTATTGGAGAGCATCTGAGTTAGGTCAGAAGGTTTTATATGAAACAGGTTGCTTCGACGATGTTTATGAGATAACAGGAGAAGTTTCTCAGAAGATAAGAGACTCACTTGAATTTCCACAAACCGGACCAATTGGTTGCGACAAGTTCGACTCAAACGAAAAGATATACTATGTCGACCTTAACGCTGCGTACATGAGGTTTGTCCAATATATTCCGACTGGAATTCCAAACGAAGATGGTGAGTTCCCGGGAAGGAACTATACAGTTGGAAAAGTCATACAACAACTGTATGATATTAGGAAAGCTTCAAACCCCAAACTTGCAATGACACTCAAATTGCTTATGAATTCGACATGGGGATATTCCATTAAGAAACCTCAAGAGATGAAGAGTAAACATTATGAGAAGGTCGACAACTTTGTTGAAAGGTTTTCTCCTTTTGTTTTGAAGTACGAATTCACTCAAGGTCAAAGTGGCTTAGTAACCACATTAAAACCTATTGTCGAACATTGGTCTTACCCTCAGTTCGCAAAAGCAGTCCTTGACGAGTACAACAAATTCTTCTCCGAAGTCAAATCCAAAGTGAAGGTTTACTATGAGAACATTGACGCACTCATGACGAACGAAGAAGGCTATAACAAACTCATTGAAATGGGTTTAGTCGGTGAAAAGATGGGTCAATTCAAATTGGACAAAATTTTCACCGAAGTTCATGTCCTCTCCAAGCGTAAGTACTGGGGCATACTTGAAGACGGCACAGAAATAAAACATTGCATGAAATAAAAACGTTTTTATTCGAATTTGAATTAAAATGTGGGAATTCTTGGGAACGGGAAAGGCTTATTTACTTGAGGAACAGGTAAAGGTGGTGGAGGTGGTGGTGGAGGTGGTGGCAACCAGTCCATTTTATATTCCTTCCTAGCTAATTTCCGTTTAATTTCATGGTCGCCCTCGGAGTCTTTGAATCGGACAGGTCGAGTTACACCATTCTTGGTCTCAAACTCATATATAACCTGTTTGTCTGTATTTTCGTCGACTATGGCACGAGACACGAACATTGACCAAACGGACAAAAAGTGTCATTTCGGATGGTCAAGCAGCCAATCGCATTCGAGCACTTCGAAGAAGCCTTACGTTCCAAGGGAGAGGGTGTCTGGTGCAAGGCAGAGGTCATGAGACTCTACGAGCAGTACATCCTCAATGCCTGGGAGGACAAATCGTCCTTGAATTGGCAATTCTACCAACTCCTCTGGGACGACCTCCTACGCAACTGGGATAACGAAAGAGCCCAATTCAAAGGTCGGGAGCTAATTTTCCAAATTACCATTAATAGTGCCTACTTATCCAACTAAACACTTAAAGTTACTTGGGGTTTCCCCCTAAAATAAAATTTTTTTACTCTTAGAACCACTCGAGGTTCTCCTTACGGTTGTTGAGCTTGTCACCGTCAATGTGTCTGACCTTCGTCTTCTTGCCTGGATTTGGAACCCATTGAATTGCGACAAGCTTGCCCATGGAAATTGAACCGCGATTCCGAAGGTTAAGGTTCAAGTGTCCCAAGTTGTTGAGGACTGGGGTAAGAACCTTGCCTGTCTCCTTGTTGCGGATTTGGTATGGGTAGGGTTGGGAAATTTCGTAACCGTCATCGGCAACAAGGGTTGCCCATGTAGCGGCTTCAGGAACTTCTTCGTGTTTCTCTTCTTCCTCTTCTTCCTCTTCTTCCTCTTCTTCCTCGACAATTCCTTCTTCAATTTGGTACTCACGAAGTATGGTGTTGCATGTTCTGTCCTTTCCGAGTACCTTCCAGATGGCGTCTATCTCTTCGAAGAAACGGTAGATGAGTCTGGCAAGGTCTCGGTTCTCTCTCTCGTAATTGCGCAAGGTTTCCGTGAAATCGTTCAGGCATTTCTCATTGGAAGCTTGGTTCATGAGGACATCGGCTTTAAGTTCCTTCATCTCTGTCATAAGACTACTTTGGAGAGTCTTAATAGTGTTTGTCAGATGAGCTTTCAATTAGGCAATTTGAATTTGAACTGGGCGCTTGTCTGGCAACCTTGAAAGGACATCTGCTATTGTGTTCGGCTTCGGTGCTTGTTCGGACATCGAAAAAATGAAGTGGTTTGAGAATGGCGGTTTTACTTCAAAAAGCTTGTTATGACAGTTATGTCATACAACAAGTTTAAAATAATATCTTGTTCTTCTTCTGAACGTTTGTTGTCTCTTCCGATAAAAGTTTCGAACATGAGAACCAAAAAACGTTTTTTGAGATTGCGGAAGAGTTCAGGCAAACGTTCATATTCTGGCTATGTTGGGAGCAGTTCAAAACATCTGAGCTGACTTTCGGACAAAATTGGGACAATGTCAGAAAATTCATCTTTGGTTGGACTGCTTGAAGGTAAGTCCCTTACATGTAAGTAGCTCTGGTAAAGTCTTCTCATCTCTGCTAACTTCTGGAGTATAGCTTCGTAATTTAAGAGTTTTAATTTTAATTGTCTTATTCCTCTCTTGACATCTAAACGGTAAGTATCCATGAGGTCAAGAGTAGCTTTGGTAGCTTTAAGTGGAGCTATCTCTTCTTTGACTTGTGCAATTTTGGTTGCAATTGTGGTTTGAGCTCCTTCAAGTTCGCCGTCTATGTCGTTCTCAACACCTTCAACCATAGCTTGAAACTCTTCATCGGTCCATTGAGTTTGGTGTGGGACGAATTTAACTTGCTTCATTCAAAAAATGAAAAAAAATGTTTTTACTCTAAACATGCCATGTATATGGCTATAAGAAACTTACCAGAAGGCTTCTTCTTCACATGAGTAAAAACATAAAAAAAGTGAGTTAAAATGAGATGTTTACTGAATTGGTTGGATGTCGCCTTCACAGGTTATGTAGAACGGCTGACCAGAGAAGTGAAGGAGACCCCTGAGAATTTGGTTCATTCTTGGGAAAGGGTTCTCTCTGTTTGGAAGTAGTATCCAAGGACGCTTGGCAAAGAACTTTATAATGGCTTCCTTCTTTGCTTGCTTTATGTCGTCGAAGGCTGTCCCGTCTGGTATTTGAATTGGAATTCCAGTCGAAGTCTCGAGATTCAAGGCAGCCCTTCCCGTTATCCAACCGTTAACGAGCTTGCCTTTTACATTCTGCCTGAGGAAGTCTTTAACAAGCTCGTTAATTTCAATAAGGTAAATTGCCTCGTCGGTAGGTTCGACCTCGACCATTGCTACTGTCAGTAAAAGTACTGCTACTGTCAGTAAAAGTACTGCTACTGTCAGTAAAAAGGAAAATTTGAGAGGGTTTTCGACGATAAAGTACTGCTACTGTCAGAAAAAGTACTGCTACTGTCAGAAAAAGTACTGCTACTGTCAGAAAAAGTACTGCTACTGTCAGAAAAAGTACTGCTACTGTCAGTAAAAGTACTGCTAGTAGCAGAGATTTTTATCGTTGTGGTCTGACGGTTAAGCCACAAACGAATGTCCGACGTCCCACCAACCGAGTCCATTCCCAAACCAGAGGAACCTAAAGCACCACAAGGCTTCCCGAACTACCCTCCTCAGCCTATGCCTTACTTCCCCAACCCTTGGTTGTTCCAGCAAGTCCACCCCAGCAATTCCAATCTCAATCCCAATCGAAGAGAGACCAAGAGTTCGAAGAAGGTCTGAACCGTTTACGCAAAGATTATGCCACAGCCCCTATGGAAGATGACAGGCTTTCAGTCTCTTCCCTAAGGTCGACCAATTCGACTCGTACCACAGATTCGGTTCGTGACCGTGACGACTACCTCAAGCAGTCTGAGAGACTCTTCATCTTACAGCCATTTACAGCTGGAGCTCTCAAGAACATGCGCAATTACGAAGGTCAAACACCAGCTGGAGACCGCAAAACAGACGTACTCGCAAGAGCCGTCCAGCTCGTCAAAACAAAGACGGAGATAGTCGACTTCATACTTGCAGCTTGCCCTTACAAGTAAAAAAATAAACAATTACGAATTAAACTTTTTACTCTTTCTTTTCTGAGTTGTTTAGAGCTGGTTTCTCTTGTAGGAACCTTTCGTACTCTTCCATGGTCATGTAATTGCGAATTTGGTACGTAATTCCAGGTTCGTTGTTTTTGAACCTTATGTATGTAACGCTTCCATCCTCCTCAGGGAAGTAAGCTGCTAACATCTGACCAAGTTTTCTCGGTGACTCGGAGCTCATTAAAAATGTCACTTTTTAAACGTTAAGTTTTTAGTCTTATTTTACCCTTTGTTTGTCAAGGTAGTATTGGAGCGCAATTTCTCCAAATTCTCTGTGTCGGAGTTCTTCAGCATTTTCCAAGGTGTACCTGGAGAACTCAAAGAAGTTGTCAAGAACATACTGCCATGCTGCTCTTCTGAGTTCGTCGGTATTTTGGAAGTGTTGCACCTTCGAGTCTTCGGACATGAAAAACTGACACTTTTTCTATTAAACCGTTTTGGCATTTCTCATGAGTGAGTATAGTTCTGCCGAACCATTGGAAGAGAAGAAGTACCCTTGCTGGCAAAAGACAAAAATAGTTGCCTTAGTTGTCATTGCAATTGTACTCGTAATTGAATTCATTGTACTTCTCTTCACGTACATAAAACTCAGCAATGGTATTTGCTTTAAGAAGCTACCATCTTACTAAGACTAAACACTTAGATTTTTCAAGCTTGACTTTTTACAATTTGAACTTTGTTTGCGTAGATATGAATTCTGAGTAAAATGGCATATGGCATGTGTCAAACCGTTGAGTTTTCACAAAATTTAAAAAATAACGTTTACCATGTAAAACGTTTATAAAATAACTGGGGTAGAAATGAGGTGAAAAAAGAGGTGAAAAAACAGGTGAAATCTCACCTCTTTACCTAAACATTATTTTTATTGAATTCAGCACAAAAATCATGAATTTCCTTAAGATAGAAAAAATAAAGTTAGTTTTATTTTTATTTATTTTTTTATTTTGTATGTAAAGACAGTAATGTCAACAACAGAGAACACAACAACAGTTATAGTCCATGAAGCTATAAATGAAGAATATGAGTACATACAGTTTAACAAACAACTCCGTCTCATTCGTTCGGTCAAAGACGATATGTACCAAATGCAAAGTATTTTGACAGCATGTTTTGCTCCAGATACTAAGAAACCACAAGACTGGTTTAGGAACCAAAGCACACAAGAACTTTTTGAGCGAAGCACAGCGAGACATACTTTTTTCTGAAAACAGTGGAAGAACAGCGACTACGAGAAAAACCGCAGTCGCCAAAACTCTATGAAAAGCGTGAAGAACAGCGAGTAGGTAAAAAACCCCAGTCGCCAAAACTCTATGAAAATCGTGAAAAATTGCCAAACGGTTTGAGAGGATATTATGTACATAGACTTCTTGTAAATGCTGTTGCAATGTGGGCTTCGCCTCGTTATGCTTGGTATATTTACAGACTTCTTGACGAAATTCATAGACAAGAACGTGAAGAGATGGAAAACAAGCTTGAAGCAAAAGACAAAAGCATTCAGAAAAGAATACCACGTTCGGTACCAAAAGGAAAGGAAAAGAACTATAAGTATATGATTTATACTGAAGAGATGGAAAATGAAAGACAGTGACATGGTTATGTTGCATTTAGTCAGAAGAAACAACAAAAGCTTTTACGACCTTGCTAAGATTTACAAATCTGACAGAAATTGGTTCTATCGCGAAAACTTACCGATTTCAATGACCCCAAATGAAGATGTGAAACAAATAGTTCAAGATACGTTACCTCAAACACACTATGATATGAAAGGTTGTACAATACTTACCTTCAAAGAAGACTTACCGCTACTGAAAGAAAAAATAACAGAGTATTTTGACAACTTCAAACAAGCAGAGTAAATGAACTCTTTATTTTTATTGACTTTTTACAATTTGAACTTTGTTCGCGTAGATATGAATTCTGAAAGAAGTATGGGGTCTTGTATGACTTTGTACTTCTCCCATAGTTCATGTCTGTCAAACTTACCTGCCATGGACTCTTTCATAAGTTCCATGAAATCGTCTTCGACAATCCGGGAAAAGTATTATGTCAGTAAGTATTCTTTTAACATCCTTACTTAAACTCTTTGCTGTCTGTACACATATACGACTGAGATGTTAAAGTGTCTGAGCTTCTTAAGAATTCGACACATGTCTTGTTCTCTGTTCTTTAACAAAGAATGAGAAGCAAAGTCATCTAAGATAAGAAGACATCTATGAGGGTAAGTCTTCCAATCGTAAGATTGCAATTTCTTCGAAATGTATTCTATCTCTTTCTGTTTGTTTCTGAAGTGTTTCTTCTCTAATATTATCTGCATTTCCTCATTTGGGTCTTTAAACTTAGAATTTATATACTCATTTATAGCATTATACTTCAAAACTCTTCTTTGTACTTCTTATCCAATCTAACAACTCAGAGTCTTTTATACATACTAACTTAGACTTCTTTATAATATCTTTGAACGAATTGACGGTTTGGTCAAATTGACCAGAAGTCGAACAAATAACAACTAACTCATAGAATGGGTTCTTCTCATCTAGTTCTTGTTGTTGTGCAGCCATTTTAAGATAAGTGAAAGTCTCACCCGACCCAGGTGGTGCAATTAGACCTGTTATACCATTCTGAGCAAATAAGAACTTTTCATGTATAGGCTTTATCTGAGCATTTCTAACTTCCTCTTGTTCTTGTTTAAAACATTCTCAAATTTTTTGTCAATGTCAGCAAACTTTTTTTCTAACATATTTTTAGAAAAATTAAAATTTTTATCTTTTAGAAAATGTCTAGCGATTTCGCTATCTATATTCGAGACAAACTTTTTGACAGCAAAACATCTGTCGACCATAAAATCTTACATAGTGTAAACAAGAAAGGTGAATTTGTTCTAAAGTTCTGTTTCTGGGAATATGACAAGAACCATAAAACATTAAGCAGAGCAGTCTTAAAATTTGTCAATGACAGACTTGTTGACAGAGATGACGCCGATTGGAAAGATGAAGTCCAACAAAAGTTCTTAGAATGCAAAGAAGACACATGCGCTGTTCTTGAAGATGAAATAGAAAACAGAATAGATGAGCTATTAAAGGACAAAGAACTTTTACATAAATATGGTTGCGCCAAATTTGACATAACTCCACCAGAAAAGAAGAAGAGAGAAAAGAAAGAAAAGAAAGTAGAAGAAGAGAAGAAAGAACCAGAGCCAATTCCACCGAAGAAGAAATTTGACATGTAAAAATAATATTTTATTTTTAGAACATTTCTGGGTCAATGTCAATGTTCTCTTCCTCTTTAGGAGTAAACACTGGCTTAGACTCTAAAATCTTTTTACCCAATTTACCTTGAACTTCTACAACTTTAGACTCATAATATTCATAGTCGTCTGTCTTCTTTGGTTCATAAGGTATAACAAGTTTGTATGCTTTGCCTTCTTTAAGGTTTGAGAACCTTCTGTCAAAACTTTCTTTGACTGTTAACAAACCTTCTATGTCTAAGTCTTCAAATTTCGCACCATTTTTAGTCACAATAGCAAACTTAACTGGTTCGATGTTCCAAACTTTGCTGAATGAAGACTTTTCAAAATGGTAGAAGTAAACATTCAAATATGTGAATGGGTCTAGTTCTTCTTTAAGTCCTGACATGTACTTATTTACTGAGATGAATTTTGCCATCTTATCTATCGGATAAAAAAATATTTTTTTTAAATTTACTCAGAAAAATTTT